ATAATCTTAGGAATTGTAATATTATTACAAGTGCGATATCAACAAAATACGTTTGAAAAATCTTTCTTTAATATAGAATATGTCACACATTCGTGACTTGGAAATAAATTCAAAATTATTATTAATAATTTAATATTCTACTAAAAGGTAGAAATTTCAGGAATCTTCTATAGATATCATAATTTTATCATAAATTATGATAGAGTTGTATTCAAAAGATTCAATGATGTGAGATTTTATCGCACATGTCTCATACAATGAGACATAATGATGTTTTACATAATGATGTTTAATAATTATACGCTGTGCTAATGCGACAACAGACAAACAGACGAGAACGGATTGCATTAGATGCAGCATCGAGAAATATCGCATTGCAAAATAAGAAAGATCTAGCACATGAAACTGTGTCATGGTAGTTTAATTTTTTTCCGTGACTCCTAACTCATAACTCTTTCAAAGACTCCCGGTTGGTTTAAAAGGCCTTTAATTAAAAATATAAATAAAAAATGAGCTTCAGCTTTCGCTATTTTGCTCCCGTTGTACACGTGTCTTATTCCTTTATTATTTTTAAATGAGATTATATCTTGCCTCTATTTCTCCTCAAATGTTTATTATCTCTATCGTACTCAAAAATGTATATAATTGTTAAATGTGTATTAGTGTTTGCAGTTTATTGAACTTAGTGGTCCTTAGTTTCGCTAATTGTAAGTCTAAATCCAAATGACTATGCAAATATCGATAATCGCTCTGGGAGGTTTAAAAGATCGCACTAAGCACATTGATAGCGACATCCAGCGGATGTCGGCTGAATTTATTTCTGCTTCCCGCTATCGCGGTAAAGCAGAAAACGCGGAGATCCATGAATGATTCGATATAAATTCAAGTAATTTTCTGGACCATTCTTTTCATTAAACATTTTTCTTTTTCGAGGATATACATACACTTTCGAGCAAATGTCAAAATCGAGATAGCTAAAAATACAAATTGCCCGCATCAAATTATTTATATTATTTCGTCTCGATTTGTCTTAAAATCGCGCTGGACTCTTTATTACATATTCTTAAACGCGGCACGGGTAGTCGTCAATTATGCGATCGAATAAATAAACGAGTAATAATTAACGAGTAGTCTAGAAAACGACCGATAAAAACTTTTATAACGAGTTATGAAAGATAAACGCGCGATCCACTGTCGCGTCCACTGTTTTGGGAGTGAGCGACGCTAAAAAACGTCGCGTGCAAATGTTGCTCGTAAAAAAATTCGATGGGACGTAGGAACATAAAGGACGGCGTTATACGATAACAAGGAGCCGATCTTGCGAGCTGGAGAGCACGGAGCGTAAAGATTTGCACGCTCGCGCGCTTACATGGTCCAATGTACTTACCTGCAAATTGGTTCGTCTCGCTCGTCCGGTGGATTCAGGAAATTAGCATCGTTCACCGCTGAAGATGTCGATCCCCGCGGCGACCTCGGGCCGCCCTCCGGTTCGCCAATCAACACTTCTGTCCGACCATTTTGGAAAGGGCTGCTCGCGCGACGTTCCCCGATTCTTCCGCTCTGTACCGGTTGCTATCGAACAGATGGATGCAAGTTACATCTTCAAGAGTTAACAAATGGGAGAGGGCGCATTTCATTTTATGACGAATTTGTCATTTAGAGACGCGACGAATTTGCTTTCAAGTTTCGATCATACTCGGATGTTTCGTGAATCCTTGGATATTTATACTATATATCTATAATAGATATCCTTGTATACAAAAATTTTATTGCTTTTCCGAAATTTAATTCAAGAAAGAGAACAACTATGATAATGTCCGATTAGTTTATCCGATAATTGATAGAACACGCAAATCTCCCTAATCGATTATTAATATGCTAACATGTATTCAAATTATTTCGCAATATACTTGAAATAATTCTTATTTAATTACGATAAATGTACAAAATAATATTTGTAAAAAGAGTATCATGATTGTTGTTCATTGATTAATTCGGAAAAATATTCAATAGAACAATAAATAACAACAGCTCACAAGCCTTGTGAAGGCTGAAGGTTCCCATTAACGTGCCTTAACATTGGTAATTAAGTGTGATAAACTACTGATGGCAATTTACCATTCCGGAAACTGTTTAATAATTACTTAATAATTACTTAAGAAATCCGACGGATGTTGCTTATATAAGCGACAAGCGATTAGTACTGACATTATAATGTTGAAAAAAATATATGCAAGAAATCTACAATTGTAATATAATTCTGTGCGTGCCAGCGCGTGTACGCATGCGTGTTTATTATATAAGTCATGTGTATATAGTAGACATATTATACAGTAGACGTATTATATAGTATTTTTGCAATTATAGTCTAAATGTTTTGTGAAACGTAATGTGAAATTAAATTGCATTTTGTAATTTAATATTATGTTGTAATTTATTCATAAATACAAAGAAACATTTATGTTATTCATAAATGTTCCTTCATATTTAAATTATGTACTTTTTTAACGATTCCATTTCTACACTAAACAATTGACGTCGCGCGCGCGCGCGCGCGACGCACACACACACACACACACACACACACACACACACACACACACACACACACACACACACACACACACACACACACACAGAGCCCTTTAAAAAATAATTTAACTAGGTCCTATTGTTTGTCTATTGCATCTTTGCATGAAAATAAGTGATAAGTTACGTTACCAAGAGATTCGCCTCTTCGTAACTATGTTGCTTTTCCAAATCGTCTTTTCGCTGCTGCGAGATGTTTTCCACTCGGATGTCCGCCTCTTTTCCTAATCCCTTGGGAATCGTACCGTTGCTAAGTTTGGTGGAAAAAGCATTCGTCCCCAATTCCCTGAAACAATAAAGACAAGGCAGGATTAATTAAATTGTATAAGATTAATCAACCAGTCGCCGATAAGTAATAACTACACAAAATAGTAAATATTTTCCGACTTTCCCTATTGTACAAAATAAAAATGGGCCGCATTGGAACGCGTCGGCATTGTGAAAGAATATCAATCACGACAATCGCAATTTGTTACATCCGGCCTGCAACGATGCTTCCTATAGGCATCACGTATATTTTCCCGTATATTTGTACATTACAACGCAGACGCATACTGCTTTATTATGCTGCAACGGGAACATCCCAAGGAATGTTAAGCTTCGGAAATTAATTATACGAATTATACGCTTGTGAAATGATATTCTATCGTATCTGCAAAACAAATTATTTTTAATCGCCGATCGAAGCCTCGACTCTAAGAAAATTCCATCTTTTAAGAATGAAAATTTATAAGTTGTACTTGAATTTTATTCTTCATTTTTCATATCATTTTTCATCAAGAATAAAAATTGTCGAAAACTATCAATAAAAATTTCTAGTAACAATATAAAGAGAGGAAAGATGGCTTACTTATCCGCTAAAGTGACCGTAATTTGGCCATTCGATTCGTCTTTCGGAGCGGAGTCTTCGCTTGTAGACGCTACCGCGTCATTTATCTGGAACAACAACCAAAAAATGGTTTTAATCATATTTGATTCACGACTGGATTTTATTTTCGAAAAAGAATCAAGAATTTAGAAATTAATAATCGCTAATGTTGCAGAAACGCTTTTATTTCGATAATAATATTAGATCACGTTGCATACAAATTTAGCGAAAAGGTTATCCGCAACAAATGACAAATTCTACTCTGATTGCAATTTTTTTATTTAGTTGCAATAATTGAAAATTTGATCAAATAGAGAGTTATCGCAATCACGCGATGGTAGTACGGTTATAGTACTCAATTTAGCTTTATGAAAAACGCGCGGCCGATCGCACAGTTTCACTTCATTTTTGTGTCGTATGCGTTTTCGCATTTCTAGATAAAATACAATCCCCGTATTTATCTCTATCCTCAAATGCATGACGTGTAAATCCACAATTTGCCTGCGTCGCTTTACATTAATTTTAAAAAAGCTATTTCCTAATGAACCAATTTACCTTGAAATATAAAACGTAATAAAAATAATCTCATCAATATCATATATCATATAAGTAAAATCTTAACTAGTCAATACTAGTCAATAATTTCAAAACTAGTCAATAATTTTTTCTCTAAAAATATTTTTAGAAATAAAATTATTTGAAAAGAAATAATACATAATCTCCTAGGACTTATTTTTTATGTTAGCCAAGAAAATATTGACATCGATTACATATATTATTTAATCACTGAAATTTTTTGCCCATTTATTTACAGTGGTAAAAGCTCTCAAGATTGACAATTCGATGATGACAATTCGAAATTGCGACGCACACATTGTCCGGACGAACATTATGCGTATATGTTTAAAATTAGAGTTCAGTGAAAATCTCATCAACCTGAATAAGCGTCTTAAGCGTCTCATTCAATGCACTCTAATACCATCCCGACACCGATGTTAATGGAAAAACGCGATAAAATGGCCAGACAATTTCCCAAATAGTATCACTATAGCGTCGACGAATTAATTGAAGGTTCCTTAATCTTGCATCTTTCATCTAATCGAACGAAG